AATTAGGGTTCCTTTTAGGGTCCTTTCTGTAAGGGTGCCGTACTATCTTTGGGACCTAAAACGGGACCCCATTTTAGAGAACTGGCCTTTTAGACCTTACTGTATAGGGACCCGACAAAAAAAGTAGGTCTTGGTAGGTTCAGAACAATACCTACAAGGGCTCGAATGGGGTTTTCAGTGTGGGATTTGAGGTTTGATGCTTCAAGGTTTGGGGAGGGTTTAGGGTTCAGGGATTCTGGTGTTCAGGGCTGGGGGGTTTAAATGTTGATGGCTTTATGTAGGTGTTTTGTTTACAGAGGTTGTTTGGAGTTTGGGTTGAGGTTATCCCTAAACCTTAAACCATATATTAGAGGGTGCCCATTGGGATTATATAGGGATCATCCTAAAACTCAACAGGGTTAAAGGTCGCCTACTCGACTACGAAGACCCTATAAACGAAGCCCAAGATCTTGCAAGAAAGCCTTGTAATATAACACCGTAGTATAGTGTTAGGGTTTAGGGTTTAGGGTTTAGGGTTTAGGGTTTAGGGTTTAGGGTTTAGGGTTTAGGGTTTAGGGTTTAGGGTTTAGGGTTTAGTAGTATAGTGCCCCAAACAAAGGTCAAAGGCTACCTACTCTACTGCTAAGCTAAGCACTTTTAGACAGCACCCTTAAGAGACAACACTTCATAAAAGGAATCCTTAAAAGAAAACTCTTAAAAAGGAATCCTTACAAGGACACCCTTAAAAGGAATCCTGAAAAAAGAAAACCGTTCAAGGAACTCAAGGGCAAGACCCTAAACCCTAAACCCTGAACCCTGAACCCTAAACACTAAATCCTAAACCCTGAACCCTAAACCCTGCACCCTTACCCCAAACCCTGAACCCTACGAGGTTTCTAGGGCTTCCGAGCTCAGCTTCGAAAACGAAAGGTCAGGGCACCAGATACGGGTTGCTTAAGGCTTCAGGGTTTCGGGCTTAGGGCTTATAGGGTTTAGGTTTTAGGGTTTAGGGTTTATAGGGGGCTCAAAGGACCTTGCAAGTAGGGTCTGGGGTTCAGGGTTTTACGTCCTGGGGGTTGGTTTAGGGGTTTAGGGGTTTAGGGGTTTAGGGGTTTAGGGGTTTAGGGGTGTAGGGGTTTAGGGGTTTAGGGTTTAGGGTTTAGGGTTTAGGGTTTAGGGATGTTACGAGTCAACCTATGAAGAGGATCAGCTTTGTTGTTCTTATTTGCTGGCACTACTGTTGGTGATATAAATCCTGCATTCCCTTAAGGACCCTGAACTATGGGAAGTATGGTATACTCGTTACTACGGTAATGCACATGAACCGTATGACTCCTTCACCCTACACCCTAACCCCGACCCTTGTGGCCATGATGATGGTCCGGATGATGTCCAGCATAAGGCCGAACATTAGGGAAGTTTGGTATCCCTAAACCCTAAACCCTAAACCCTAAACCTTAACCGTGGGTATTTTCGAGATCCTGAAAACCCTACAACATATTCAGGTGCTTTTATCTGCTGAATCGACCGGCGCCAGAGAAAAGCTGTGACATCCGACACCTTGAAGACAAAGCCAACTTACTGTAGGGGCCTTAATAATTAGAATAGGGTTTGGGATATAGTATACTGTAATTATCATAAGGAACCCCCAAAAACCTGTTCTAATTATTAAGCCCTCTACATTACTTGAAAACTCGAGTGTGAGCCGATGCCTGCCGACTCGCAGCCGTCCGCATCCGTTGCATGAGCGATCGGTGTTGGAAGCCATGGCTTCTGACAGGCAGACAAAGAGAGACTCAGAAAAATGAGAAACAAATTCAGCGTGCTTGAACCCCCGCGGCAGGCAGGAAGGCAAGCCATGTAGTTTAGGGGCTGTAATAACTAGACGGTGGTTCGGGAATACGATCATTATACAGGGAATATAAGGGAATACTATGACAAAGATTTCGACCTTTAAAAAAAGAACCAGATCTGCAACTTGGCCTAAACCCAAAATCCTAAACCGTAGACCCCAAACCCGAAGTCTTCCTTGCGGAAGCCCTTTTCCCGCTGTCATAAGGCTTCGACAGCAAGTCAGTCGGTCAACAGACCGATCCAGACAACTCGGAAATAGAGAGAAAGGCAAAGAGAGCCTGAACACGCACCTGCTGAGGACTCTGCATTTCTCGAAATGTAAGACAGATCTCAGTAACATGGAGCCCATCCCTTTCAACATCAGCAACCTGTCACGAAATGAAACTTCCCTGCTCTTCTCTTGACCGCTGGTGTCTGGTGTCTCAGCCGTCGTAGTTAGGAAAATGAATACCCTAAACCGTAAACCCTAAACCCTAAACCCTAAACCCTAAAGTACCCTCGGAGCCCCTATCTCTGCTTGCATCAACTTCCGGATTTCAGACTCTCAAAAGCAGCTGTCCGGAATGTGGGAGTTTCATGAAGCAGGAGACCGCATTATCAACGCCAATGACAGAATCCTTATCATTGGAAGGCCCTCTACGTAGGTCAAGAAGTTTCTGAAATCGTGTGCTGATGGGAAGCGCCTTGGGCTGGCGTGTGTTCGCACCCTCTCTTGAGCACCAAGCAGGTGGCAGGCACTTGCCTGCGATTTCAATTCCAAAACTTGCAGGTTCGCAGAATTACTGGAGCTGCTTCGCGTACTGGTCCGCACCTTCGATGTAAACTCGCATGCCACACACAGCTCAAAATCGCACTGAAATATCAATGGTTACGACTATGGGTATGCTTATGACTATGATTGGGATTATGATTAGCTTATTACTGTTCTTCTGGCTACTATTACTTTCACTATCATCAACTAATTTAGGCACTCGCTGTCCGATAAAAGGAAGCCAGACACTGAAAGGACTCAATCCTCCCTCAGGTCCTATGAATCAGAACCTGCTCCGGTGTAAGACCCTAAACCCTAAACCCTAAACCCTAAACCCTAAGGCTCAGGGGGATTTAGGGTTTAGGTTTTCTTTTGTGCGGGCCCTTTTCCGACTGCAGATGCAGCTAGAATTCCTGACCAGGAAGTGTCGAGGGTTTACGGTTTAGGGTTTTTAGGTTGAAACGATGGGCCCCTGGTGAGTGCTCGGATTCCGAAACCCTAAACCCTGAACAATTGATCTTCGGACCTTCTGAAAGTGCCTCGGATTCCCCAAACCCTTCGCTGAACACGTAAGTCCTGAAGCCGAATCTCCTCAGCCAGCTTCCGGCATAAACGGCTTAGGGTTTTAGAGGTTTAGGGCTTTAGGGGTTTAGGGGGTTGCGGTTGCGGTTATGCGGTTGTGGGGTTTAGGGGTTTGGGGTGCAAGGTTTGGATCGGATTATCTTATTAAATCCGGGTCTTGGCCCTACACCCTAAACCCTAAACCTTGGGTACGATCCACAAACACACACAGCCCAAAGGCAGCTCCCAGCCAGAACCAAAATCTGGAAGTGCAGCTTCCAAGAAGCTCTCTGCCGACATCACCCACACAGTTCCCGAAACCCTAAACCCTAAACCCCAAAGAAGTCCCAAATCCTAACCCCAAGGGCTCCAGGTGAAGTGAAGCCATGAGGCTGGGAATGCCGCGGGAAGCAGAGAAAGGCTCATGAAAACCAACAGCGGGCGTTTCTGCCACATTCCGCTCAGGGGGGGCGGGTTTAGTGCTTAGGGTTTAGGATTTAGGCTTTGGGGGTAGGGTGGGTTTAGGGTTTAGGGGGGTGCAAACGAGAGCTTCAACGACGAATACACAGATAGACAGACAGATAGGTAGGTTGGTAAGAAAATAGACAAGTAGATCGGCAGAGAAGTAGGGAGGTAGGGAGGTAGGCAGGTAGGTAGATAGGTAGGTAGGTAGGTAGGTAGGTAGGTAGGTAGGTAGGCAGATAGGTAAGTAGGTATGTAAGTAGGTAAGCAGGTAAGTAAGTGGATAGCTACTCAGGAAGACAGCTAGTTAACTAGATAGCCAGTTGGCTAGATAGCTAGTTAGCTAGACTTAAGAGCAGTAAAGTAGAGATAGCTACATGAACACGTAGGTCGGCAAGCAGGCAGGCAGGCAGGGAGGCAGGCAGGCAGAGAGGTGGGGAGGTGGGCAGGCAGGCAGGCTGGCAGGTAGGGAGGTAGGTAGGTCGGTAGGTAGGTAGGCAGACAGAGAGATGGCATAGGTGGTGGACGGGTAGATAAGCAGATGGGTAGATAGGTAGCTGATCAGATAGCTAGATAGTTAAGTAAGTACAAAGTCAAGTTAGAGCTAGATACCTAGATAGTTATCTAAGCAAGCTAGCAGCTAGGTCGGAAGCAGCATGGATCATGAGAAACATTGCCCCCCAGGCTCACACGAAATTAGAATTTGACATTCCGTTGGGCGTCTGAAAAAGGCGTCGTACATTCGAGTTCCTGGACCCTGAACCCTCTGCCGGGAATTACACCCTGAACCCTAAATCAGCCTCAACCTGTAGTAGAGCACAAATCCCGCTGATGTGCACAGCTAGGAGCGAGGTTGGAGGGCGTTCAGGGTTCAGGAACTTTTATTCACCGGCCCATGGCCAATTTCCACCTACCCAGATGCTGCGAAATGCTCCGAAGCCATAAAACTCCCTCAATGTCTTGGAATGCCCTACAACGGGTTTAAACCTCACCCGATATCCTTGACCGATACCCCTTAATTCAGGAACATACCTTAAATCATAAGGGGCTTGATATTATGATTTAAGATATATTCCGTATTTAAGGGGTATTGGGCTCTCTGGGTAAAGGGTTCCCTAAACCCTAAACCCCTGAACCCTAAAACCCTGAAGCCCGAGAATCAGAGGGACCATGCCCTCATAGTAGCCCTTATAGAACCCTTTAAACAACCCTTTTAAAGGAACCCCAATACCCTATTCTAGCCTAAACCCTAAACCCTAAACCCTAAATCCTAAACCCTAAGATTGGCGTCAACGGCAACTTCAGCCTGACTCAGCTACACGAAGGTAGGGGCCTTAAGAGTTAGAACAGGGTTTTGGGGTTCCTTTAAAAGGGTTCCTTAAAGGGTTCTATAAGGCTACTATGCTTAGGGTTTTGGGAGCCTTAATAATTCGAATAGGGTTTTGGGGTATATTATGCTATAATTACTATAATTACAATAAGGAGCCCCCAAAAATCTTACAGTAGAAGTTGACGGCGACCGCGGCGATGACGAAGATGATGACGATCACCACCACTACCACGACCACTTCCACTACTGCTACTGGTACTAGTGAAATGACAATTACCATCTTCCCTATGTTAACAGCCAATGCCACAAGAAGAAATGCCAGAGTAACGCAGGGGCCTTAATAATTAGAATAAAAATTGGGGGGGGGGGGGCATTATATAATTGTAATAAGGAACCCCCAAAAGAGTATAGGTAATTATTAAAGCCCCTACATAAGCAGGGGATTGCCGACGACAAAAAGTTCAGGCCGTCGTTGAGGTCTAAGCTTCGTGGTTTAGGGGTGTAGGGCTTTGAGTTTAGGGGCTTGTATAGAGGCCTGAATACTTGGCATTCCTTAAAGTTCCAGGTTAAACAACAAGTGCAATACACACCAAAACACTAGCCTTATCTTAGTTGTTCAGACACCAAAACTTTACTACAACCTATACTCCAAACCGTAAGAGACCTCTTTAAATCCATGCTCTAGTTGTCGACGCCCGTATACTTAAGTTCGGGGTTTGGGGTGTAGGATTTTGAAGGGCTTCTTGTATAAGAGTTTACATGGATCTTAAAAGCCTGGGCCACAAGGGCGTCATAGAAGAATTGGGGCTTGGTTCAGAGTCTGGGGTTTGGGGTTTGGGATTCTGAGTTAAGCGTTGAGCGTTGCACAACGGCTGCTACAAGAGTTTCCACAAGGGTTCGTAGATCCAAAGCACAAGAGAGAGACACTGCAACAAATCGGGCATCCTAAACCCTAAACCCTAAACCCTAATCCAACCCTAAACGCCCTAAACCTCGGTTCTCCAGTAATCCCTTAAGAATAAGGGTATCCTTTTTTCCTACTATTCGGTTCTAATAAGGGGATTTAGGCTCTAGGGTTTAGGGTTTAGGGTTTAGGGTTTAGGGTTTAGGGTTTAGGGGGACCCCAAAATAAAAAGGGTAAAAGGGTACTACCGGGAACCTAGGAAACTATGCTAAATCTCACACTCGCAGGCGTCGGCCGAAAGAATCCGAACACCTGAAACCCAAAACCCCCCAAACGACACGCGTGCGGGCTTCGGTTTAGAGGTTTAGGGTTTAGGGTTTAGGGTTTAGGGTTCAGGGTTTAGGGTTTAGGGTTTAGGGTTTAGGGTTTATGGTTTAGGGTTTAGGGCTTCACAGCATCACGGCTTCGATGCATTGCAGGAGCACCTTGGATCTTGGGAGTGGCCGAGGTCCCTAAACCCTAAACTCCTAAACCCCTAAACCCAAAGCCCTTAAACCTTAACCCTAAACCCTAAATCCCGAAACCCTTCAAGCCCAAAACCGGTTCAGGGTTTAGGCCTTGAACCCTGAAACCTCTAAACCCTCCTAAACCCTGAGTTTAGGATATACTACCGCCAATGGTTCCGACCCCGGTATTACTATCAACATGGGGCCTTGATGATTAGGAGAGGGCTTTGGAGGGGGTGCATCATAGATTCTTGTACTAAAGAACCCCCAGGAATGCTATTGGGCTATTGGTAACCATTTAAGCCCCCATACTTGATGAGAGGTTTAGTTTAGCGTTTAGCGTTTAGCGTCTAGGGCTTAGGGTTTAGGG